TTTCTTAATTCCATCACAATATAAATATAAATTTTCATAAGGTTTCAATCGACGCATATTTGCCCAAAAGCTAGATGTGAAAAACAAATGTAAGAATGATTTAAATAGATACAATGAAAAAAGATTTTAACTAACCTAAAAGCACTTTTACTCATAATCATTGTACGACATTGTGAAATCATATAAAAATCTAATATAGTTTTTTCTAAACCATGACAAGCAAATTTTTTTCCTGATCGATCAATATGACGTATCATACCATCAACAGTTAATAAACGTGAATGAAATTGTTGTTTTGCATATGTATGTACTTGTTCAGAATCAGTTGAAACAAATATTATTTCATGTGATTTAGAATTATTTTTTAAAAATCCTATTACACTTGTATTCATATGTTCACGTTTTGGAAAAACAACATCATTTGGATTTGATGGATTTTTTCCAATACGTATATGTGCACATTGAAGTGAATTTAAAGAAAATTTTTCTGCTATTTCATCCATATGAGATTGTGGATGAGGTTTTAATTTAAATAATAATTCATATACTAATGTAAATATACTATGAACAAATAATATTGAACGATGTAAACCATAATTTAAATCAAGATTACGATAAAAATCATCACGCCATAATATTAATCGATAATAACTTAAATCTTTAACTTTAAAATAGATTATATCAATATGTTTCCATGATAAAACATCATCATAATCTTTATCCGATGAAGTAAGTTTATCAATCGTACGATTTGTTCGTTGAGAAAGATTATTTATTGTTTGATTCCATTGTATAAAATTTGGTTCTAATAAATTTGTTATTGAACATGGCCATGTCATATTTATGAGAAATGTACGATTTAATGCTAATGATAATAAATAAGCACCAACTATTTTTCGTGTACGATCACCCCAACCACCACATGGTTGATTACATGTATAAATTAAATATTTATTTGGTTTTACTGATGGTTTAATTAAATGAAGAAAATTAACATGACGAGATTCATATTGTTGTAAAAGAGGTTGATGATGAATACGTGTTAGAAGAGATTTTTCATAGGAAGATAAAATTTTCTGTTGGTTGTTAGGAGGAACTTGAGATGAAACGAAAATATTTTTACAAGATGAAAACCAACAATAATTATGAACAGAAAATGATGAAAAATATAAAATTTGACTAATAAAAACTATAAACCAAATAAAAAAACCAATTAATATATAAATATAGAGTCGTTGGGATCGTCCCATCGATAATATTTTGTCAATAATATCATTTAGAAATATCAAAATACATAAAATAATTTATGACTGATGTCATATACTAGAAGAATAAAAGAAATCATTATATTCGATATTCTATTTTTATTTATTTCTTTTACAAAGGAAAAAGTCATCATAAGAACAACGAATATTACATATTTCAAGTAACATACTAATGTTAATCATAATATATATATATATATGAAGGATATTTTTGTGTTATTTTTATGTATAATAATAAGTAGTTGACTTACCTATTCTTTTTTTTTTCTTCTTGAAGTGATTGTATAGAAAAAAAGTATGTTTGTTACTATAACGTTATCGAGTACTACTCAGTTGGAGTCTTTTTATTATTGAATATATAATGGGGGTATGTACCAATCAAATGAAAACGAATAAGATTATAAATTATGTATGTAGGTATGCTGTTGTATTTAAACCGTATGTTTAAGAAGTAAAACAGCCCTCCGACTATTCTTTATATACATGTCTGTAAAGGTGAAACCGGCAAACAAATGTACATCGTATAAAATAAGACGTCGATGAACTTATATTTATATTGTGACACAGAACATACGAAAGACAGAACGAACAATCGTCAATTGGAATTTATTTTTTCTCTTTTCATTCTACACTTATACATTTTCTTGATTGTATTGTATTATAATATATATAACGATACGAAACTACATACTATTTATGACTACTTCTATAATGCCATATAGCTATTAAGAAAATGCATAAGACTATAGATCTTATTCAAAGTTTTTTTCTATATCATTTAGAAAAAAAACAACGATTGTATTATGAAGTATTAAAAAAAAAGGAATTAAAATATATGAAATTGTGTATGCATGTACTGTTGATTCTATATTGTATGTCACATATATTTGATCCATTTTAATCGAATATTTATCCTAATTATTTTGCTGTCAATGAAATATGAAAAGCTTTGCTTAATAATATTTATCTTTATGTAATTTTTCTTTGAAATTTATCAAAATTTGAATGGCTTGAAAAATGATGACATATTCTTTTTTTTCCTACAGTAAAATAATTACATTAATCTCATCGTTAGACTAGCATAAGTATGAAAATTTGAATTTATTTTTGATTAATGTTTAATATTTTTCTCATTATAAATACAAACTGACATGTTAAAATTTAATCGAAGCCATATTTGTTACTTTTCGAAATAAAACATAAATTTATTTCATATTATAAATATGAATAATTACATTTTCGAACCAGACATAAATTAATCGATAATTCTATCGGTTTTGTTTTATGATCGAAAGCTCAAGGCATTATTAGATGAAAATGAAGCAGAATCGCGAATAATTAGAAAATAAGTAATAAGCGAACGCTCACAAAGACACTGTTGAATGACTTCTAAGTTGGTTTTTACTGTTGTCAATATGATGTCTAGACAATGATAATGAAAACTACATATTTAGAAACTTTATAAAATTATAGGGAAAGGATTAAAACTCTTCTTTTTATACATAACTTTGAAATTCAAAATCCTATAGATTTTTTTCTCATCTGATTTTTAGATATTGATAGTGTCTTATTATATTTTCTTCAATATAGAAAACACACAATTCGTTTTGAAAAATAAGAGATTAATGAATAGTAATATAAATGTAAACGAGTGCAATTATGAGAAAGATTTCTACTGTATCATCATTACCTTAATTTGTCTTTCTAAATTTAGTTTTTAACCATAGTTAGAGATATTTTTATCGTTTGCACCGAATCATCATGATAATATATATTAGAGTTATTTTTAAATAATTAAACAACATCATTAAATAAAGATCATGCAGTTAAGTAAATGTATTTCTGTATTCTAAACCCTAGTGATCATAACAAGTTATCCCAGGCAAATAATATAGAATTACTGTAATTGTATGAAAAATTCAATTACAATAATAAGATGTTCATTTACATGCGTAGACAAAAAGTATTTTTCTGTATTTATAGAAACTATCGGTGCATAATAAAGTATCCAATGAAGAACATTTATCAAATACACTAAGTTAAATATGAATTCTATCTTATCACTCCTATTGACGAAGATAGTTGAGACATATAATAATTTTAATGACAAATCGAAAAATATTCTCCTATTACATAAATATTTCATTTATTATTCAAATTTGATTTAAGAAATGAGATTTCATCAATTTTTAATCTAATATTAATATTCATATGAAAAGTATTCTTTTGAATTCTTTTCTTCTTAAGTTCAGACGTCAAAAATCTTTATCACATCAAGGTATTAAGTAAAACATATCTTTTTTATAATTAAATAAAAAGGAAGTAATACTCGGAAACGTCATACTGTTTTTTAATTCATTAAAAATCTTAGAAAAAAAATCTAACATTTTCCTATTTATATATTGAATCTTTATTCTATACAAAATTCTTCGGCATTCACCTAAAAACATTTTTCTAAAATGTCAAATCACTGTATAGCATGGAATAGACAAGAATCGTATTATAATTCAATGTGTTTGATTCTTTTAATTCCAACATTTTCATGTCATGTTTTATTCTGGATTCAAGTTTGTACATATAAATCTCTTCGTCATCCTTCGTTATTATGGCTTTATAATTATCTTATACTTGATATGGTTTCACTTTCGCAAATTTTCTTAGAATATCTCACACGTCATTATACGATTTGTGGACTAAATCCTGTTATATACTATTTCTTATGTATATTGGAAGCATATGCAAACAATTATACAACAATGGTACAATCATTTGCTCTTACTCTAACAAATATTTACAGGTAATATGTTATTTATAATGATCGTGGATGTTTTTATTGTAAAAATCAGACATTTACTCATAAAATATTCGTTTCAATGATATGAGATGTTCGAAAGTTATTCATCAAGTAAAGGTCAAATATGTTCCATAGACTTGATTTTAACTGATTAAATTTTTTTTTCGTTTGATACAATATGAAAAACCGCAGGGTTACAGAAATCCGTTTTTTAATATTATAAATTGAATAATCTAAAAAACTTGCCCGCAACGACTGTATCTTGCGGTTTAATATATTACTATATATAAAAATAATTAGACATATGGCTGAGCTTTAACTCCTCGAGCTAACTATTTTTAATCTTTATTTGATGAATATCGAAGGATAAGCAGTTAAAAATTAGATTCGGAGTTAATATCGACAATTCTCATTCGAATTTTAAAAAAGATCGATTTAATCTATTCCCAAGCGTAATTCCACAATATTCTGAAAATAAGTGATTTGCATGCTCTAGTAGAAAAACTTTTAGTTATATATATTAAATATCTTAAATACTTTTTGTAGGTTTTTTTACGAACTATGTCATATACATAAATATATAAACAATGTATTTTTCTCTTTTATTTCAGGTATAGGCTGATTGTTAAAAGCAAGAAAATCACATTTCATTCTATTATTCTTATAATATGTATTCACTTATTTATTTATTCAGCACCATTAATTCTTTTCATTCTTCAAGATATTTTTTCAGGAACTACACTCGTTGAGGTTGTTGGTTTATCATGTGATCTAGATTTTTCTGATTTTTTTAATGAATTTATCGATATATTTTTCCTTGTTATCGTACCTATTTGTATCAATATACCTGTTATAATGCTGATTATTCGACATGTTCGTTCTTCACAAAATGCAGTTCGATCCGTTCGACGTATTCATCGACATCTTATCATTCAATTTATTATTCTCTATTCAATTTGGTTTCTCTTTTTTCTTCCTCAAATTATATTTTTATTATCTGTTGCTTCATCGACTTCGCAACGTTTGATTACAAAAGTTCTTGATATTGCTGCAACACTTTCTGATGTTCTAGTTATTACACTATTCGATCGTCGCTTTGTTGATGCATGGAAATTGACTGCACAACGAATTCTAAGACTTATGAAGCGAAATAATAGACGTATTAATCCAACAACAATCACTCAACCAATACAATTAGCACGAATTCAACCAGATGCCACAAAAGCTCAGAATCGTGTGGTAAATGTAATGTGAAGCTATGCCGAATGTTGACTATCAAGAAATCGAGAATTAAAACTAACATATGTTGAAATAACGCTGATGATTCACTATCTATCATCGACTGTACTTATATTCGAGTTTCTCTCAAGTACGAAATGACGATTTTAAGGTTTTCACAGATTTCTCAATACTCACAATTTATTCTAGAATAAAGTCAAATTTATATACTGTCAGAAGACAGCTAATACTAATTCATCAGATGAGTTCATCTAAATCGGAAATTTAACCTAAAATATGTTAAAAGAATGCTGATGATTCATTATCTGGCATCCGCTTTAGTTTTAGCTGTTTTCGTTGAATTATCTCCAGATATGAAAATATTATGTTCTGTATCGCATTCAAAGCTTCCGACCCATTATAATATAAGTACTTTATATGTTAATTCGAATTTCTTGAAATTCAGACATGATTTTTGCCTAATCTTCAAGATCAATATCATGTGATGTCTTTGTGTGCATGTATCTATATTTACCAACGACTATACTTTATTTATTCATTATTACACCAGACAACACTTGAAGTGCATTTCAATAGAAGTTAAGTCAGAATATTTAAGAAGAACAGATACATATATTGTATCATATCACTATATAAAAGTGTAGTTGACTTCAGAGTTGTTGGGTGACGATTTGATGAAAGATCAATCATCGATTCGAGCAACAAATATGAATATTTAAGAAGTTCAGTAATAAGTTGACAAACTTCATTCATTGATCATAGTTGTAAAATCCGATTGATGATCCAGAATTCGATAGACAAGTTCTACCGGTAACGTAAGGAAGTTGGTAAAACTTTGATTTGACATTGTAGACTGTTAATGAAATGTGTGTTGTATAATATGTTACTTTTTCTTCCCATTCAATGAACACATATTCGTCATGCATCATATATTTTCCATGATATTGCGATTACTTGATGAGAGAAAAAGCGAAAAAAGAACGATATCACGTTCAAGGATCCAGCTTCGATAGGAAGTATAATCAAACATTTTACCATGATTATTTTATTAATATAAAATGATATATAGTAGGCATGACTATTGCCTTCCTGATTATAATTATAGCAAAGTTTGAAGAACTCTCTTTCTTTTCATTGATGTTCAAAATGTAGATTGTTATTTAATTATAAAATCGAATGAAGATATTTTATACGTTGGAAGAGAATTTGTTCTCAAGAAACAGAGTCAGGTGAATGTGGAGTGAGTGTGGATTTACTTGACGAGATCAATCTTATATCCACACCCACATCCTCTAATTGAAAAAACTG